TATAACATTATTATAATAAACTTCTGTTATTGATAATCGTCAAAAATATAATAAACATTATATGAAATTGATTTAATTAGTTTTATTGTACAATTATAATAAAATTTGTTATATTGATAATATTCGTAGTTTTCTTTACTATTTTTTTAATAAGATTAATTAATATATAAAATTATATAAACAAAGAAATAATGTTCATTATACATAAAAATGTTATTCCTGAAAAAATTCTACTTATTCGTTTCTTTCAATTAATAATAAATTTGATTTTGAACTTTGAGAATATGTAATATTTGAGCTTTTCATTTTGGTTTTTAGTCCTAAAATAATATGTCTAATTCCAGGTATCCATGTATTACATAGATTAGCATGATACATCATTAATGCAATATGTATTTCATCAGCTTTTTCAATATTCCCTTCTCGTAAAGCTGAAAATATTTTTTATTATTTTTCTATTTTCAAATATAATTACAATATTATATAATATTAATAATAATACTTACTAATTTATTTTACTAACCTGTAGATAAATCTAAAATATTCTTATATATCACATTGTTTAGTTTATCTTCAAGCCATGCAGTTTTTAATATATCTAATTTCTTCTTTACTTCTTCAGCACTATTTTTTTCAGATATATGTTCATTAATTACAGCTTCTAAATTTGTCAAGACATTATTTAATGTCTCCTCTTTATTAATATTTATTTCATTCATTTTTCCTTTCAAATTATTTTTGTTTGAAGGACATAACAATGGAGGATGTGATGCTGTTGTTAAATTAATTGCAGATTGTATTGGTGGTGGCATATTTAATGGTTTGTTTAAAGAAGATTCTTTATCTTTAGCTTGTATAGATGTCATAGGAAATGCTACCCTTTTATTTAACATTCGTTTAGTAGGAGTTATAGAACTTTGTGCCATAGAATATGCCCATTTCGGAGGATCATTCCAACCAGGATCATGACCAGGTAATAAAACTTTTTGTAAAGAAAGATTTTTATCTACAAAATAAAATTATGTAAGAACATTCAAGTATTTTCTATTAATATAATATAAATTTATTTCTTCATAATACATATTATTAGATTGATAATAATATAAATATAAAAAATATAATATAAAAAATTTATAATAGAAAATTATATAAATATATTACTAACTGTATTAATAAATTATATAAATATATTATATTAAAATACATTACTTGTCATTTCTTCGCTCATTTTTGATTTTTTCAAATTTAAATTAAATGAATTAGCAAAAATAAATAAATAATAAAAAATTTCTTTAAAATTAATGTTAATATTGGATTTGACATTTATAATCGTATTTACTTATAGAATACAATCATAAACATATTAACATATGTTTATAATCACAATATTCCTATTATCATAACATATTTCAAGATCAACAACTTTGATCATATAAATTACTAGGAAATGATACTTTATTACTAGCAAATAAATATAAGTTAGATATATCATATTGATATATTATATTGTTTTTTTATATTGAATTGATAAAACTTTATTTTATAAAATTAGAAATTATTAACTTCTTTTTATACTTTCTAATAGTTTTTGACAAATAGAATTCAAAAATATTAATTTTAAGTTCTGGTTCAAAAATGATTTCGTATGTGAAATTAGTGTTTTTTAAGTTTTAAGTTTTTATTTGATCAGTTACTAGGATGCCATATTGGTTTATATCCACAGTTTGTTCAATAAGAAGTCATTATCTATATATAGGTGACAACGATTGAGGTTCATCTTTAAAATAACTGATAAAAGTAACTTATTTAATTTATAAAAGCAATTTCATTATCTTCAAATAGCAATTGAATTGAAAATAGATTCTTCCTCCATAACGATTCAAAAATAATTATAAATTTAATAAATTATTTTTATTCCAATATTAAATTGATTCAAATAAAAAATTGTAATTGTATCATATATATTTGTAATCAAATTTGATTCATATTTACATTGTAAATAATCGTCAAATATGCAGCAGTATAACTACGCTCATTGGATGTATTGTGGATAAAAATCAATTATTATATAATTAAATAATCTGTTAAATATTATATACAATAAATAGTTTTTGAAATGGATTTTAAATTCAATAGTTTTGAATTCTATTCATTAAAAATTATTAAAAGATCTAAAAAAATTAATAAATTTTAAAATAAAATTTAATCGTTTTGATAATTTTTATATAAACTAAAATTCAATGATTCAAATATTATTTACATATTATTCAAATATTATTTATTATAAAATTTGGAATTTATATAGGAATATTTATAAATTATATGACGCCATATTAGATTTTCATTCTATCTTTCATTTGAAAGATGGAAATATCATCCCGCATCAAATTCAAGTTATCTTTTATTTGAAGAATTTTATGTATAATTATTATAATATATCATTATTTGTTATTTAAAGTATATTATCATAAATATTTACATAAACTATATAAAAATATATTATATAAACAATACATCATAATATCCTATTTCTTGCGTCTAATCATTTAGATTTAAATTTTGAATTAGATTTAAATTAGAATTTAATTCCTGATCTCTCTTTTTTCTTTCTCTTTCTACATCATATTACAATTGAATTGATTCAATTGAAAATAATTAAATAATATGATTTGAATGATTCTTTAAAATCAATCAAAAATCAATTTAATTCTGGCGTTTATTGGTACTTTTAATTGGATAAATATTTGGCATAATCTTATGTAACTAAAATCTCTAGAAATATAAAAATTCATACATAAATAATTTTAATTTTTAACCGTTAAATTTCAATAATTAAAGTCATTCAGATTTTGAACATAAAAATTTATAAAAATATATAAAAAAAATTTAATAAATTTAGTGCTTTAATCAGAAACTAATTTTCCATATGTTAATTTATTTATAGAACTCTTATATTTATAATCATATAAATATGATAAGAACAAACAAATTGTTTTTGAATTAAAAATTTATAAATACAATTATTTTCACGAAAATAAGAAATCAATCAAAATACAATAAACTACTTACATATTTTTAGAAATATTCTTTATATTTGCCAAATCTATCAATTTGCTATCTTTTTTATCATTTTTTATCATTTTCTTAGAATCTATATATTATATATCTATATAATTTTTGAAAAAATCAATTTTAAAAATAATTACAATTTTTCAACTTTAGACATATTTTGTGTTTTTATTATTCAGTTGCTCTTATGAAATTATTTTGAATTTTCTCTCAAATATGTTTAATATAATGATTTAAAAAAAATTTTTTAAATATCGAAAACTTTTCACTGGATTTTTTAATTTATTTCAAAAACTGAGAATAATAGAAAAAAATCTAATCACACTATGGGATATAACAAACTTTTCTACTAAAAAAAGGATCAAGAAAAACTATATAATCATTTTTATTTTTAATATAAAAATTAAATAATATGGCAAAACGCACAATAGCAATAGTACTCAATGACGTTTCGCTATGATTCAATAATTCATAACATGATAACCAAGGCGATCACTATCATTAAATATTACTATTACATATATATATTGTATATAATTATAAATAATCATTGAGTATTATTATAAATATTATTATAATAAAATATTTATAATTATATATATATATATTATAATTAAATATTATATATTAATTAAATATTTATAATTATATATATAATTATAAATAAATAATTTTTCTTTAGACATGACTAT